AGTGTTAAAGAGATACTAACAAATGAAGCATGTCTCTAATCCTAGAAGCAATTTTGTCTCTGCTCCAAGCCTGGGGCTGGATCTGGGCTTGGCTCCCTTTACATGCCGTGTGGCTTCAACTCAACTCCTCTTAATATTTGCAGTCAAGGCAGAGACAAGGAAGGTTTCTTCTACGCTGTCTGAAACTGCTGCTGTTTGTTTCACTGGTTTGCAAATTGTGAACCCCTTTTCCCTCTTTTTGCTCCGCTTCAACAAAAGAGGCTTTACCTTGAAGAGCTTCGCAGTTCTGTAGTCGCTAAATCCTATGTATTCCCCACCTCCCCTCAACATGGCTGTTATATTTTCCACTACTGCTAGATTTAGGCCTAGCGTTCATCTGAATTATACTCATTTTAATAACTTCTAATGGGATCTAAGTATACAGCATTTCCCTTTTCCCAGTTCTAAGTGGATCATTCAGTAATGCCATCTAATTAGCCCCATTACACATTTATTTTCAGATGGGTTCTTCCCATTTTCATATGGATAGGAAGAAGTTAATACCTTCAGCCACCCTTCCCCTCCTCTGGCTCTACCCTTCAGCCTGAGAAAGGAAATGACTCACTTGCTAATTAACTATTTTACAAATAAAATAACAAAATACTTCAGAGGAATGTGATGACTGTCACAGCTTGGGAATTGCTTCTGTGGATAACTCTCTAAAAGCTTCTGCTCCTGACACTTGCTCTTTTTCCTAATGTGAGTAGGTACTCTATTGCTCCCAGAGATAAGCTGCATCCAACACATACCTGTAGTACCATGCAAGCATGTATTTGTAAACCAGACTCTTGCCCCTTTCTTCAGAAGTGCTTTACAAGTTTTACAGAGCAAAGGACTGGTTTAGTGGATACTTTTATATGTTAAAATTACAATTAGCAATGCTGCTGTGAAGCTAGTTTATTATTTAGGCTATATACAAAGACTCCCTCTACACTCCTGCAGGAGCTCCCTCAACTTTGTGAGTAAAATGGGAGGGGAGGGGTGAGAGTGGATTGTGCTTTGATTTAAAACCCTTATACATCACAGGGCCTAGAAGGAAAAATGAAGGACAAAGGAGTTGTACTGTAATAAATACCAACTACCAGCTAATTCTTCCCAATAGCCAACACACTGTTCATGAAGTTATGCATCCCCAAGCTACTCTATAGGCAGGGCTTGTGTGAAGGTGACAGTGAGAGGTGACACCTCTCGCAAAGAAGGTGTTTGGTGGGTGTCCATCTAGCTGACCTAGACAGCCCAGCTGCTAAATTCCATCATAGCATTTTGAAAAGTTTTCTTCAACTCTCTTAAAAAGTGAGCTTGGTTTTTTTGGCTGTTTTGTTTTTCCCCACCTGCAAAAGGACATGGGAAGGAAATGTATTCATAAAGTTCAGAGTCACACTAATTCTGAGTCCTGCATTCTCCCTCTTCACAATGGAATACATGAGAACTTTACAAATAGCGAGTCTCTGGTTTTTTTGTTTGTTTTTTTTTCTCTTTCCCTTCCCCACCCCCTATGAATTCAACTTGAGGTTTAATACATGCCTTTATATCTGCTGGTAACCTTGAAGAATATCTAGGAGTATGCAGAATCTTAAACATTGCTCACCCCCTCAAGTAAACTGGAAAACTTTACTGTGTGTTCCATATACATAAGTTACCGCTGTCTAGTGCTGATGAATCAGGCATACCACATACCAGTTTAGCCAAAGGACAAGAATGGTTATCACTTCCTTTTTGCATTGCTTAGGTAAATTATTTAGTAAAAGTTCAATTGAATTCTAAAATACTAAAAACATATAAGTTGTCTTGTCTCTAGACTCTAATTTTATTGCTTTTATAAATATTCCAGACCTTTAAAATGTAAGCAGTGCAAAACAAGAACCTTTAAAAAGTATTCAAAAAGAAAACAGAGCTAGAGCACACAGGTTACTGCTTTAGTGGCATGGTTTTAATCTACCACATGACATCCAGTTGCATGTCCAATTAAAGCATGGTTCATACATATCCATATTTTTTCTTTAATGAAGTATCCCAAATAAATGAGGAAAGGGAGTGTTCTGACACAGTTATCCACTTTCCCCATTTTCCCACCATAACTCTGTTATCATTTCTCTCTCTCTCTCTCTCTCTTTCAGGATAACAAATCTCTGCTTTTCTTTGAAGACATTTCAAAGTAGCTAGGGTCAGGAGGGATCTAAACAGATCATCTAGCCTGACCCCCTGCCACAGGCAGGAATGAATGCTGGGTTCACAAGACCCCAGACAGGTGATCGTCCAACCTCCTCTTGAATTTGCCCAAGGTAGGGGCGAGGACCACTTCCCTGGGAAGTTGGTTCCAGATTTTGGCCACCCTAACTGTAAAATATTGCCTTCTGATCTCTAACCTAAACCTATTCTCCATCAGCTTATGACCATTGTTCCTCATCACCCCAGGTGGTGCTGGGGAGAAAAGGGCTCTGCCTATTCGCTATTGATCCCCCCGATGAGCTTGTAGGCAGCCAGCAGGTCCCCCATCAGCCTCCTCTTGCTGAGGCTGAACAGGTTCAGGTCCCTCAGTCTCTCCTCATGGGGCCTGTCCTAGGGCCTGAAGTTATCTTCATATTAAATAGGAAACCCTCATAAAAGTGTTAGGAAAACTTTAGAACAAGCACAGAAAAAAATACCCAAGAGAGTAAACAGCAGGATTAGTATTATGTAGCTTGGTTGTTCATTTGCATTTCATTCCAACATAACTGACCTACTAGGGGAAACAGTGCTTTCATTCTTACTTTCTCCATAGGAGAATTGTACTTTTCAGTAGAGAAATTAGACTCAACTGCAAGAACAGTAATTGGCAGTTTACTGGAGCCATTTTGGATTGGATGCTTACAAGGTATGAACTTGTTTCCAAGACATTAGAGACATGCATAATTAAATAAATAGCTTTTAGCTATTTGAGATGCATTTCATCATCTACAACTTTCTTTTGATTTAATAGCACTTACTTTATGCTGCCAGATGCCTCTATGACTTGATATGCAAAGGTTAATGGAATGCAAGTATTGAAGGTCAGGCCCTAGATGAATCTGAAATTATAAAAAATTGATAGGTTTTGACATGGAAATATCATTGAAAAGAAAAAAAAAAAAAAAGAGGTAGGGGACCAAATAATTCAAAAGATCCATTTTGGGATGAGGGAGATTAAAGACTTATTTTATGTTAGATCTTATGTGTTTAATTCATTAGTCTAAATTATTTATGTTACATAGGTTCAGAGTGAGAGATGATGTCATGTTTCACACACGATCATCCCTGCTACCAGAATTCATGATTCACTATGAAATGTAAAAGTTTTGTCAAAACAAAAACATTTTTTTTCTGAGTAGGAATCCTCAGCTAGCAATCATTCTGTTTTCTCTGGGAATAGATATTTTTTTCTCAAATACTGTTGCTTCATACTCATACATTTTTTGCTTGTTAGTAATTTTTATATATACATATATATAGGAAAAGAGAGAGAAGAAAATTTTCAAGTGAGTCACTTCATAGTTTAGGCCCAATTTAAAGTCTGTGGGATTTTGGATACTATGGCATCCTATGGCACCTACACACATGCTGGATGCCTGCTCTGACGCATGCTAATTAGCATATGTTGGAGCAGACTCAATCAAGCAGACTCAATTAATCAGCATGTTCCACAAGCCTCAGCGTCACATGTATTCAGTGTCACCCATGCTTCAAAATGGTGGTGGGAATATTCTAACTAAAGTTTGTTGTATGATCTTTAGTTAAAGCCCCCACTACCATTTTGAAGTGTTGGATGCTGAATACATGAGACACTGTGGGCACTTTAATTAGAACAGACATAATCACAATCATGCAACTTGTTTTAAATTTCATGAGCACAGACTGGGTCCCACTTGTGGAAATGCTCATCAGTGCCAGAAGCTACTCCAGGAAAGTGGCCTAAGTAAGTTGGGGTTGGGGGGAAGGAGAGGGTGAATCAGGAGGGCTAATGTGTCCAAGGACAGATTGACAGAATTAGGGGTTTGGCAGGTCCATGGCTTGAGCTGAATATAGCCTTTGCACACACCCACCATTACAAACAGAAGTGATATTGGCTTAACCTAAATTATTTTAAAACTGATTTTAGTTAAACTTGTGCAAAAGCCTACAGACAGACTATTATTACAGTTTTTCCTTTTTCCTTCTTTCATCAATTAAGCTACATTGAAATAAACTAAATTTAAATCAAAATTATACATTACATGTTGAACTGTACAGGTTTAAATAAATCATCTCAAAAGTACGTCTTCAATTAAACTATGCTACTTAATGCACAAACAAAGACTTAGATTTTACTCTTAGAGCACTCTCTCTCTCCTGCTGCAGTTTTTTTTTCTTGTCTATACAATCACTACTACAAGGGAAAAGGTTACATACTAAAATGTACATTCTGGACATGTTGCATAGAATTCCCACTAGTCTCATTTACACCCCAGGGAATTATGCACAGAAAAAGTCAAAATTATATGCAAGAAAACTTAAAATTATGCAAAATTAACTACTTATTAAACCAAATATAACACTATTTGAACCTTCTTTAAAAATATATGCAGGTACTTTGTATGGTTGGGTGGTGGATGCGGGGTGTGGGTGTGGGGGATTTGTGAGGGTGTGGGAGAAGTGGGTGTATGTGGGAATGTGTGGGGTTTTGAAGGGGTTTGGGGTGGATATGTGGGCAGGTGTGGGGTTTGTGGGAGTGTGGGTATGGGAGTATGTGGGATTTGTGGGAGGACATGGGGTTTTGTGGGGAGTTGTGAAAGGGTGTGGGGTGTGTGGGGGTTGTAGGAGAATGTGGAAGAGGGGTTGTGAAAGGATGTGGGGGCTTGTAGGAGGATGTGGAGGGGGGTTGTGAAAGGGTGTGGGGGCTTGTGGGTGGGTGTGAGCCCCTCCCACCACAGACCTCCCCCATGGTTCACATCCCCTGCTTGTAGTAGCTCAGCAACAGGAGGCAGTGGGGGGAGGGGCACTCATGGCCATGGCAAGTGGGATCCATGTGCCATCAGGATGGGTGGGTTCTGTGCCTCCAATTGCAGCATCGTGCTGGAGTGATGGAAGGCCCACATGGAGGACCAGCCTGGCCCAATGGTGCATGGACTGAGAGCCATGTACCTTTGGACCAGAAGGCTTCATGCCTCTGTGTGGGCTTCCAACACTCCAGGAGAAAGCTACATGTGTAGGCTAGCAGGAGCCCACCTGGCTCAATGCCTCCGTATGCGGCTTCCCACATAGCACAATGGTGCATAGCTCCTGGTCCATGCACCATCGAGCCAGGTTGGCCTTCCATGTGGGGCTTCCAGCACTCCAAAGAGAAACATCACACGGAGGCATAGAGTCATGAATCATCAGGCTGGGTGGGCTCCTGCTGGCGCCCGCATGTAGCTTCCCACTGGAGTGCTTGGAAACCCCATGTGGAGGCATGAAGCCCACCCAGCCTGATGGTGCATGGCCCACACCCACCCACACACACCCCCATGCCTATCCACAAACCGCACACCCAACCCCCACACTTGCAGGCAAGAGCTCCCTTCCCCATTTACTCAGCTGTCCAGTCTCTATGACTCCACATTATGGGGCTCCCAGTTGGAGTGCAAATTATGTAAAATTATGCAATTATGCACAGGCATAGCTTTTATGCACAAAAAAAATTGTGTGGGCACATAACTGCATAATTCCACAGGGTGTACTCAGTGTCTCAAATGACCTAGTGTTCCACGTCCTACTGAAGTCCCAACTCAGTTCTTGTACCTGGCCTGAAAATCTTATATTTGCCTTCAAAAATAATTTAGTATTTGAGACAAAGCACAGAAATGTAAGAGATCTTTACAGGTCGGAGTTCCAGACTGGGTTAAGATGGAGAATTTTGTACTTCTTTACTGTACTAAAACAATGTAGAGTCCAATGTCTGAAAATAAGAATTCATCCCTTTGTCTTCAATAAGAGTGGACAATCAATGATTTCGGTCATCCTACACACTACTTTCCCTTTATCCATTAATTCTGTAATTTGCCAGGCAAGATTTCTTTTTAGTAAACCAAAGTAGCAAGTTGTTTGGAGAATCATTATTCTCTCAAGGTTTAGTTCATTTTTGCTGTTAGTGTCCCATTATATTACTGGGGAATGAAATTAAACTAAGTGGACAATAATAGCTTCCCCTCTCCCTCTTTTTTTCTTATTGAAGTTCAATAAATATATCTATTTTTCAATAATCTTCCAGTACTTCCCAATTCAATATAGTATTACAAGTTTCCTTTACACATAACTTGAAAGAGGATATATCTGTGGGCCCAGCAAGAGACATTAACAGAGAACCAAAGTAGGCATTTCTTTCTCTGGATTGTGTTTTTTAACCTCTGACTGTGAAGGAGTGAATAGGATAAAGCAGCACCAACAGAAATACTGACTGAGTGCACTGACTTCTTCAAAGCAGTGTATGCCATCCTGCATACAACTCTCTCCATTTGAGAAGTGCTTTTTCTGGAGCAGGCAAAGGGACAGATAGTACCTTTGAGGTGCCTCCATGAATCTCTTTACATTGATGTCCCCTAGAGCACTTAAGTCATCCCCAGCTATTTGACCTATTTAAGACTGCCTTGTGGATCCTACCTTTGTGTCACAAATAATATTGATATGTTTCATTAATTCCCTTCACTCTCTGAGACATATCATTAGGCTGTGTGTATTCAGATTTTTCAAATATATAGGTACTTTGCTGGTAATTAATCACTCTTAGTAATCCTGCACTTTATCAGTATCCACAGCATTATTATAAGTTTTGAAGTAAAAGTCATCTTATTTTTAGTTTTTTGTGTAAAAGACATCATTATTTTCATCCTCCTGCTCATTAAGCAAAGTCTACATGCTTCCTTTTCCTTCAAAGTGTTCATTAAAATGACATCTACTCTTAAATATTTTGTTTTTTCCAATAAATTATTTAATTGGATATTTTCAGCTGATGTTTCCTTGTGGCTTTTCTAAATGAGATCTAATTAACTACTTGACTGTTTACTTCGCACTAAAATACTGCATTTTCTCAATATCAGTATTTATTTTTACTGACCTCCCAATCCTGAATGCTAAAAAGGGCAACAGAATGGAAAATGGTAATATCATTAAATTTCTTTGAAAAAAACCTCAGGGAATCCATATTCTAGTAACTATTTGCTATAGATTTGTTCTCTAACCACTTAATTTCTATATTTCCATGTGACAATACCCACATAAATCTCAGTAGTGTTGTCACACTTAATGCATCAGTATTCTCCTTGTGGTTTGAGATTTCTGGATGAAAATCATCCAAAACAGAAAGTGTGGGTCCAGGTCTAGAATCCTGCAACTTGAGTTTTAATCTTGATTCTGCCACACTCCAACTATAAAGACAACATTATCATTTTGGTATTTAATCTGGAGTTCCTAACTTGAGAGAATTGAGTTTTGATTTAACAAATGCTGGATGCTGTTGCTGCCATTGACTCCATAAAATGTTGTAGGTGTGCAATATTCCTGAAAATCAGGCCTAAATTCTGTCAAATTCAGCACTCAAAAACAGAGGTGCCAAAATAATATATGGGAACAAAAAATCTTTATATTTTTGTAATGCACTTTGAGATCTTTGTATGAAAAGTGTCTATAAATGTGAATGTTTAGCAGTGCACTATTATCATATAAGCTTGTCCTGAGTCTTCTGTATGTCTAAGTATTTTGTAGGGTTTTTTCCTATGGTAGTTGGTTTTAATTATTTTTTCCTGAAATACATTTTGCAGCATTTAGAGGTGATGTGAAGTTGAGGTGGATTGATTCGACTTTGGTAAGTAAGTATAATTTGCGTGACAAGAAAGGAAAGGCATAAAAGCCAACGGAATGAAGAATGTCAGGAAGAAGGAAGGATACTATTCCTTTCGATTAATTGCTTTTCCTGCCACAACTTTGTTGTCCCCATGTCTAATATAGGTTACCCCTGAATCTGGTCCATCATTCAAGCCCATGCATTTTGTTTAAAGGTTCAAATAAATCAG